GCTTTTAGCTATATGTATTATATTTATATGTATATAGTATTTTAAATTTAATGAACTTAATTAAATAATTTTGGAGCACTTTGTAATCAAATGCCCGCTGAACTAATACAGTCGAAATAGGTATACAGTTTTTCTTCGACTTTAGTCATGGTGGCATTCAGAAAACGTTCGATGACAGTTAAATACGCATTTAATGTCCTCAAATGATATGATTGTTACTTATAGGAAACGTAATGCACAGCGAATTGATTTTGAATGATGGCACGTGCTGCACATGGCCACACGGATGCAAAACCAAACTGCCGCACACACTTACCACATATTACATTCCGAACAACATTGCCGTTGGTATTGGCTTACAATGAACTTACAATGAACTTACAATGAACTGGAATGCTCAGACGAACAAGTGTTATTTTTTACGTTTTTGTCAAATAATAATGATTGTACACAACTTAACTTTTAAGTTCACCCTAACGATGTTGTGGCGCGAAGTCCATAGATTAGCATTTGGGAGGAACGCCATGTACTCGTATAATAATATTTTGAGTGCTGTGCTTAAACAGCATCCTTGCAACAGCATCCTTGTATGATTTATTGCAGTCATTTTCTCTTAATTTTTGGATACTTTTGCTAGTACTGCATTTGAAAATTACATTTGTAGCAACTTTTCACTCTACAGAGGAAGGAAGAGCATTGTGCGGTCGTGTGTCAAACACTGGCTACAATTATATTCGCCATAATAACGAAAATAGTTTCAGTAGCATATACTTCCCATCTGAAAATAAAAATTATGTTAGCTAGTTAACTAAGTTGCCGCATTTATTATTTTCTTATTTTAGGAAACGGAAGTGAACAGTATGACGTTAACCAATGTAAGAAAAAAGTCACTTTTTCCGGGTTTTTAGTGTGTGTTTAAATGGTGCCATATTTTAATATTTGATTCTTTATAAATTTACCATCGGAATAAACGTTAAACTAGTAAGTGATATTAAATTAAGTCATGCTACAGTACTTCACTTAACCAAGATAGGATATCCTGGTTAAAAATCGTCAAAGCACTGGTATTTCATATCACCTAATAAAGTAGCCAAGGAATTCGCGAAATAGTATAAAAGTAGTACGTTAGAAGAACAGCGATTGAAATATCAGAGTGTATTAATCTATTAGACCTGTCATTTTATTAGAAAAATTTTACTTGATGTGATGAAGAAGATATGAAAACGAATGTGTTGTATGATTTGAATATTTTAACCTGAGATTTAGTTAAAATCAGGTTAAATCAACCAAATTATTTTTCTGAGTGTACCATAGGTGCTTACAATTTTGTTGGTATCAAGAATATTGTTAAACTTGAGACAAACTTGAGACAGTTGTTAACTATACCTTATCACCATATCATAGTAAATACATATAACATAACTTGAGCAAGAAATTTGCCAACATGATTTATTGTTATATGTGTGTAAGAAGTTATCTTATCAAATAATCAAGTTATCTTATCAAATAATCTGGTACTTTTATACAATTGCCTAACTGAGTTGTTTTACTTTTGTCTACAACATTTTTGAGAAGAAATTTTAAAAATTATAGATATTATAGATGTTTCATATGCAAGTATATGAAAAAAAATTGATTATGTTATATATTTACCGAAACTTCAAGAAATATGAAGACATGGCAACTCTGGCTTTTTCATTATTGTATTGTATTATTTTTAATAGAGCTCAATTGGTGCCTTGCGATCTTTTTTTGTAAAAAAAATTATTTATCTATCAGAAAGTGACGAATACCCTTCCTTTTTTTAGATCATAGCTAAAGCAATATTAACTCGTCGATATTGGCTAGTCCAATTGCTTAACATAGTTATATAACAACAACTAAACTATCACATATAAATAATAAGGTTGAGTGTAATACTGGTTTAGTTATTAAGCTGGGATACCACTTACAAATATTCTTGTTAAATGCCGATAAATCAATCCTATTTTTAGATATCAAATGAAATAGAAGAATGACACGCTTTATTTTATTTTTTAAATTCTGAATTAAGCAATTACTACAGTTTAAGCCACAGTTTAAGCCATTTTACTGAAAAGTGTTAAGCGTTTTATTCAAAAGACTAGGTTTAGCAAGTCGAACGCAACAATTATCAGGCAAGTTATGAGTTTAATGAAAATGGAATAATTTTCTGAACTTTTTTTGAAACCAAAATCGCATAAGTTTTCGAAAAAGTTTACTTTTTTATTTTTGAAATTAAATGTAATTCACAAATTTTGGTTATTAAATCGATGATTATCGGTTATCAAAAACATTTATTTTCATGCTCTAATGTGTTATGATATTTTAGTGATTTGTAAATATGTCACGGTCTGTAAAATCGAAAAAAAAAACTTTGGAATCATTTTTCTAATTCAGATAGAGTTTTAGAGTTATAGGTAGCTGATAAAGCTAACTATAGGTAATAGCTATCGGAATGTTTTGGAATCATTTAAAAAACTTGTCTCCAGGAAGATCAAAGCTAGTTATTTCATTTGAAATTCAAAATTTATTTTATTATTTTTAAGTTTGTATATACAATGTGTTATATGATGTAGATAAAAACTTAAAAAATATTTAAAGCTTTTAATTGAAAGTGTAAGGAAACTGCAAGTAATTGACTTGAATGGTTATTGAATTTTAATAAATATAACAAATATATATACATACGAATCACATCATTGGTTTTAGGGATGTTGAGGTTCTTATAGAGTTTCCATCGGTATCTTAACTAAAGATAATGTTTAGCATTTTTTATGTTATGTTGATTAAGATACGTACTGAGCTCTATGGCTCAATTTCATAAGTCCAAATCTGTGTGATGATAGAGCAATATAATATATATGATTTTGTTGACAAAATTATTTTTTGATTTAGAATTCATAATGCAGTTAAATTGTTAACACTTCAGCTTTTGTTGTATTTTTGTCTACTCAATATGCTTTGTTTTTCAAATCATCTGTCTCTTCTCTGTGAGAGTGAGATGTTAGTAAATTTCACTTGAGCCAAATTGCTTGATAAAGGGTATATGTTTTGGTGATTGAGATTATTTTAGTACTGAGTAAAATTAGCTGTATAGGCAAGATACATCAATTTATATACTTTAGCTATGCAGTATTATTGATTCTGAAATGTGACATGTATTTCTTTAGTAATTCTTGAATTAGTGATTTGGAACAATATTACGATAGACTATAAAAAGTAAATTTTTCAACACTAAAAGTTTGACGAACATTTTGATAATTTAGCATATATGGCTAATTTGAGTATATCAGGTCACTATATCAGGCATTATGCAATACCCAAGTGTCCTATCCATAGACGAAAATACTAAATATATTTGGCACTCCTATAAAGATATGTAAAGATGCCAAATAAATGTTATCCGCGTCATTCATGTTGTCCAAGTTTGATAAACTCTGATCTCAAAAAATAAGAACTTAATATAATGAATATAGTCAACAAGCTTAAGTGGAAAAATCGAGAATCTTAGGGTAAAGAAAAAAAAAACTATTTAACATCAAATATATTCTACACACAGTAGTAGTAATAGACGCATTATGAGACTCCAAGATTATTTCTTAATGCAAAAGCTTCTAATTCTTTGGCCACACATGAAACATCAAATGCGGAATAAAACACAAAACAATCATATGCACTAATCCAATTTACGGAAAGCCAGAACCAAGTTGTAATTGTGGTCAAAGTCATTATGCAAGTTTCCCATCGGCAAGGGTTCTATAATATTTATCACAATACTATTAGTATTAGTATGTTATTAGCCACCCCCAGATTGTTCTAAGTTACTGGATGCATTAACAATCTCGAACAAGAATTTAAAACACGTCGATGATAAAAACTCTTAGAGTTATGACATGGAATTTAACTGAGCTCTTAAAATACCAGTAAAAATTCGAAATATTTTTAAATTTGGAAAAATAAACATATTATAGTATATTTAAAAATTAAAGTCATATTAAACTTTATCATATACCATGCAATACATCCTAGTAATTATTCGAGAGAAGAGAGAGAGAGAAACTGCAATATTCATATAAAAGAAGCAGAACATTACGAAAAAGATAGCATTGGTACTAATATTTTTCATACCATGACAATTACCTAGGTCATGTTATGTAATCAATATGCATAAACACAAATTAATGGGTAGAGAGTTTGACATCAAGCACACCTATTGGGGTTCGCGACTATTGACACCGGGTGCGAATCTATGTTTACAGGAAGACATACTACTCTCTTTGGATGAGACCCAAATAGCTCAAAGGATCAACTTGCCATATTCTACGAACCAAAACTGACAACAATACTTGAGCAAGAAGAGAAAAGGACAAAGCAAACGTTGTCTATCTGACCAGCATCTTATTACCTAATGAGACGATCACAATTTCTTAAATACTGTAGAGATTAATTAACTAAAAGACAAAAAAGCTTCCACTTTTGACTTAATAACAAAATCTTGAATACATTAACTTATATTTTTCACTCATATGACAGACTGGAACGTATTCAAAAATTTTTATGGTTCAGGAATCATAATCACTTTTCCAATTCTCTATAAACTTGGAATATATTTAAACGAGATTGATTGAATTATATCAGTACACGTAAACTTTGCAAATAAAAAAATTAATTATAAACCTATAATAATATTATA